GTAGACCAGAAGGCTAGGGTAGCAACCAGCTCTGTGGGGCTTTCGGGGAAAGCTTCTTGGAGAGGAGGACTTTGCATCTGGGTAAATCTTCAGAATTGGACTGAGCTTGCCAGGCAGAACTATGGGGACAAGAGCATGGCATGCCAAAGGCCAAGTGCATACAAACGCCTGGAGGTGTGAGAGGCACTGGGGTTCAGGGAACAATGAGAATGTGAGCAGGTCTGAAGCGGCCACGGTTATCCAACTGTTCTTTCACTCTTCTATTTTTATAGCCAAAACTCTGTTTTTATTCTCAATATCTTTTTATTCTCAGTAACTTACTTTCGATTTTTTAAAAAGACTGAACATTGTTTTCTTTTTTGTCTTTGCATTATTGTTTTAACCCCCACTTCTCCTCAGGGCATTGTGGATGCCTCTGACCAGGGAAAGATCACATATCAAGGAGCGCCCCGAGGGAAAACACAAAGATGATTATTTCACTGCTTTATAAGGACAGCGGGGAAGCTCAGGGAACCTTGTGCAGGAACTCAGCTGGGCTGTCTTCTTTTACCATCTGTATAGCAACAAACATGGTCTTGGAGGACTCCGAGGTTACCTGTCACAGGTCCAGCACCCAGAGGGTGGTCCTGTGGTCCAAACCTTGTGGAGTAGAAGGTGTAGGTGAAAGCACATGGGGATGGGGATGCGAGGGGAAAACGTGAGCTGGCCAGCAATCTAATAGATGATCCGTGTAGGAGTGAAAGCATCAGAATTGAGCTCTGTGAGTGTGATTTGCAGCCGGCTCTGGATTCAGGCTGGATTGGAGTGGTCAGACTGAAGGGCACCTCTGGCTTCCTTGGCTTGCCTGTCTCCACCTTGGTGTCTTTCATTGCCCACTCCACCTCCCACAGGGTCTCCCGGGCAGCACTTTACATACCTCCTCCGTCAGTGAGAATAATAATGTGGTGTACTTTTTAAGCCTCACCTCAGTGTGATTCTGGCACTTCAGCTAGGCCTTGGCACCACTGACAAATACTGATCACCCTGACACGTGACAACCTCCCACCAAATCTTCCTGGGAGCAGGGACTTGAACTGCTGCCTTGCTTTTCGTATAACATACACTCGATCAGACCATGAAGAAGAAGGTCAGGAGAGAGAAAGGGAAGGAGGGAGGAAGGATGGACAGGGAAGAACCTGGCTGGAAACAGTGAAACCCAAATCACCCAAAGCCACAACCTACTCTAAATTCTGACCAAAAGAAGGACGTTGCTGGAGGAGAGTGATGATGGCTCTAAGGAAAGAAAAGGATGAAGCGTCTTTTTTTTTTTAGCTTTCTTGCAAGCTCTAGGCACCGGTCCACTCTCTCCTGCCTCAGACCTCAGATCAGAGCCTGAGCTGCATACCAGGCCCCCACTGGGCTCTGTAATACCGGTGGGCTGTGCTCCCGCCTCTGCACTGCTCAGAGCTCAGAAATAGTCAAAAGCTTGCTCACAGCTCTTGCATTCGTGGAGAACACTGGTTCAGCAGGCAGACCAGTCAGGACTGCTCCACACAGGGATGTGAACTAGGGCTGGAGGCCAGAGAATAGTCAGAGGTTGATGACGGGTGGGAAGGCAGAGGGAGCTGTTTGTTCTCATCAGCAGGACATGGTACCCTTAGCCATCTCATGTCCGCCTTTATGCTGACCCCGAAGGCCAGGCAGCCTGACTGATTCACACAAGATTGAATATGACACAGGCTGTGGAGGAATCCTGACTGTTGTGCCTGGCTGGAGAATCAAAACGTGGAGGGTGGACAGGTTTTTCAGTGATGGAGAGAAGAGTACTCAGATGGAGAGAAAATATGAACAAAGCCATGATGGTGGGACTGAATGAACTGAGCTCATAGGGTGCCGAGGCAGCTGGTTTTACTGCAGACTGGAACACACATGGAAGTGTTGGGGGAGGTGAGGCCTGGCTGCTAGGCTCGTTGTGGAGGGTCTTAAATGACAGATTGAAGAATTCTGGCCATAGCGGGACCCCAACGGGGAATCTAAGTTTTGGACCAGACTAGTGAATTGGGACGCCGTGGCAGATAAGGATTGCTCGGAGGAGACAGAGACCAGCAGGAAGGAAAACAGGAAGCAAAAGCGACGTTCCAGGAAGATGTGATGAGCCCGAGAAGTAGGGTGACGGTAGTGGGAACAGAAGGAAGGATACACTGTGAACAGAAGTAGGATAGCTCCTCTCCCTGCCTAGACACATATCTCATATAAACACACGAGGACACACACTTAGGGGGTGAGAGAAAACCTAACCTCTTCACCATCCCCCTCTTCTCAGTTGTCAGGCCTGCCCCCTGCTACTTCTCCTGTTCTCGCCATCCCATTCTGGCCAATGGCCAGAGGCACTTGCTCTAAGGACAGAAAGAGTCATGTGGCGGTTATTTATATAGCAGCCGCACTGCCTGAGCCCTCTGTCTGGAGGGTGTGTGTTTGGTGGGGAGTAGGGCCACTCTCCATCTCCCATGCAGAGCCCTCAGCTGGGAGTCTGCAGCCTGCATGAGACCCTGCTGATGGAATGGGACCAAGAGGTCAGAGAGTCCATCCTCGGCCTCCAGAGAGGCTGTTGGCAAACCCATCTCTGTGGTTGCACAGAACAGCTAACACAGTCCAAATGCCTCCTTCCCTCAGGATTTAATTATTTTTGCAGTTCATTAAGTTCTTCCTTTTACCCCACCTACACTTCTTACTGTAATTTTAAGTCTCCTTGCTTCATGTTCTGTGTTTGGGGAAGATGGCAAATCTCCAAAACCTTGTCAGTAGGGAAATAGTTCTGATCAGTCAGATAGAAAATGTCCATTGAATCATAGGGCTTATGTCCAATAGATTTGATGGCAAGAACTAACTTTGGATAATAGCCCATTTATTTTGCAGTTACTAAATAACTCAGAAAGAATGACCGAGAAGCCTGGGTTGGCTCATCGTGCTGGTAACACTTCCCGGTTTTTCCTCCCCACCAGGGCTCAAGGCTTGTGCTGACAAGAAAGCCTGATGCCTGTATATGCCTCCTCTCAGGAGAAAAAATTCCTCTTGAGTCTAAGAAATTGTAGAGCCTTTAGGTCCTCAAATGACTGGAACATTAAGGCAGAGATGACCTGAAACATCACTGGTTTATAAGGCTGTGGTTGCTTTCTCAGCTGTTCTCTGGGCCACCTGGCCATGCTGGCCTCTTCAACACAGAGGCAGAAAGCAACCACCACTGAGTAGACCCCTGCCAAGCAGCAGGCTTTGTGCATGGATTATTACATTTAATTTTCACAACTCTTTAACAGGGCAGTTATTAGCCCCATTTCTCACATAAAGAAGCCAAGGCTCACAGAGATGTTATGAGAGGAAACTGAGACTCAGAGAATAGCCAGGGGGCTGACGTGGGGTGTGGGACAGTAGAGGGAGCTGTTTGTTCCATTAACAGGACATAGTCACTTTAGCCACCATTTGTCCACATTTACCGCAACCCTGAGGGTCAGGCAGTGAACCGCACACAAGGTTAGATGCTGGGCGCCGAGGGATACAAATGATCAAGCCTGGTTGGAGGCATCAAGGGGAGGGTCCTTCTGCTGGGTCCGGAAGGACAGATGGGTTTTTCAATGTGGTGTAGTTGGGGGTCGGGGAGACTGCCTTCTGATTCGAGCAATTTCTCTATGACCAAGGTTTTGAGAAGTTTTCCATCTCCCTCAAACATAGAGAATTGAAGCAGGAGGTTAAGATTACGGTGAAGGGTTTAGGTCGGATACAAGAAAAAAACTTAGCGAACTGTGAAGATGGTTAGATACCAAAGGAGCACATGCTCAGGCTGAGGCAGCTTGTCTGAAAGGCCACACAGGAAACAGCAGTGATTGTGACCTGGATAGGCCTGTCCAAACACATTCCTTTCGCCTTTCACTGGAGAAAATGATCACGGCCAAGGTGGGTTTCTCACAGCCTTCCCTCCCACGGTCTGTGCAGAAACAAGGAGTGGTGCAGCTGTGAACCCAAGGAGCTTGTCCATCATTGTATTCCCAGTTCCTGGCACCCTGTATCTGTTCAATAAACAATTGGTCAACAAATAATAGGTCACCTGTTTTCAAAATTGTTTGTGTCCCGGGTGGCTGTGCCTTTGGCATAGATCCAGGAAATCTGAGTTCACAAACTCTTGCTCAGACAAATGCTGCTGACTGAGCCACAGTGCCCTGTGACGTCAGCTGAGTTACCGTCAGTACTCAGGATGAAGGGAAGGTGCTTTCCATCAGCTGCTCCTGGTCAGCCATTCAGGGGAGGAGGCCATGGGAGGAAGCGCTTAGGACAGACTCCTGGGCCCTCTCCTATGTCAAGGGCCCTCAAGGAGAGATTCCAAATGTGCTCACTCCCTGTGAGAGACAATTCTCGCGAGCACTAATATGCTTTTGAGTGTCCCGGGGGACACTGTAACCGCTAAGTAGAACAGATCTGATGTTGTTTAAGTGATTCCATGATTACAGTCATTTCTCCCTAATACCTTGACACCTTGAAGTGTGACATTGAGGAGTTTGTGTCATCCAACAGCCTGGCCAGAAGCAGCAATAGTTTCTGCAACATGAGACAATATTGAATTCTTTTTGAGCGTAAACTCCTATCTCCTCAAGGCTAAATATTGACTTTACACTTCAGGGGTGTATCTTTTTTCCAAATGCAGTTTTGTTCCTCTCTGGCTTTCAAGTAGTAGGTACCCAATTGCTTCTGATGATGTGGAGAAGAGGCTCCCTGAGAAGAAAGGGACCCTTGCAATTCCAAGCGCTGCAAAAGGAGAAGATGCCAAAGGACGGCCAATTTTCTTTTTTTTTTTAAAGATTTTATTTTTTCCTTTTTCTCCCCAAAGCCCCCCGGTACATAGTTGTGTATTCTTCGTTGTGGGTTCTTCTAGTTGTGGCATGTGGGATGCTGCCTCAGCGTGGTCTGATGAGCAGTGCCATGTCCGCACCCAGGATTCGAACCAACGAAACACTGGGCTGCCTGCAGCGAAGCGCACGAACTTAACCACTCGGCCACGGGGCCAGCCCCAAGGACGGCCAATTTTCTAATTACCCAGGAGCCTGTCCTGACTGCTCCACACAAGAGATACTATTAGAATTTCAGAAATGGCATCTTTTGTGTTCTGTCAACAGCTTTGATAAAGCCCTCTCCACATTCTCTAAAAATAGAGGTCTTTTTCTGTCAAATGAGACCACAAGTAGCTTGAGGGCTCTCCCTGTCAGTTTCCTTTCACGTTCCCCACCCCTGCTCAGCTCAGGGCCTGGCTTGGGGGCAAGCTCACAGCACAAAAGGCCCTCTCCACCGCTTGCATTTCTGCAGTAGGCTTTTCATCTACTTCTGTCTGTGGAGGGGACTTCAGAGCTGACCCTCCTACTCACACGATGTCGGCCTTTGCTGGTAGGTGAGGTGGGGAAGGGAAAGCAAGGTGGGGACACAGTGTTAACAATTCACCGTCACTCTGCTCATCTCCTCAGGGTGAGATGACACACAAATGCCTCATTAGCTTCACTGCTTCCAGTCCGGGGAGGGAACAGCCTATTTTCACTTTCCAGGTTCTTGGGAAACAAAACTGACCATTGACAACTCCTCATAATTCCTCAGTCTAATTCAGCTCTATTTTATTTGTCCTAGTCCTCTATTTTAAACATTTTTGATTCACAGCCACAAATAATCACCAAAATTCACAAGTGAAATCTCCCCAGAAAACCAAAAGTGAAGCAGAGACTATTTCTTCTCTGCATACAATCTGATTTTCCTTAACTCACTCTGACTTTTGAGGGTATTGGGTAGATGTTTGTTTTTGTGATTGTTCTAATCAATTCGGTATTATCTCACTTTATAATTTTACTTAAAATTATCTGGAAACAGCAATAGAAATATGTTTAGTCTCAGTTTGCCTGCTAGTTATCACTAGACAGGTGCTAGACCCGTAGATGTGATCTGTAAGGAAGACAATCACCAAACTCAATTCATCAAGTTTCAATCTTTAACCAGACCTAAATAATAAACAAAGAGGACAATTACTGCCCCACAAACGTGACTGTGCAGGACAGAACTGCTCTGGGAGAGATGAGCAAGCAAGCAGGAGGATGAGTGAAAAAATACAGGCAGAAAAATGTTTTGTAACTGTAGCAGATTTGTAAACAGTAAATTTACGACATTCAGCATTCTTCATTAGAATTTGGAAATTAATGGCTCCAGGTCTGGGTGTGTTATTTAAGGAGAAAAACAAGACTCGTTCTGTTTAAATCCCAATTATATTTAAAAATTAAACTGCTCATAGAATGGGAACTTTAGACTGGGAGATACACAGGATAATGAACTGGCCCCAGCCAAGCCAATGAAATACACAACCCTTTGTGTTAAAGGTCTTTGTGTTCTTGGGCAAGAAATGGAAAGGAAGACCATAACCTCCCGGAGTGCTGTTGGTAAGAAATCTAAGCCAGTTCACCAGACTTTTGCAGTTCTCAGTATATCCCACCATACTTTTAATGTTGGCGACTGATAAAGGCTAAATCTAAGCGTGCATTATAGAAAGAAGACGGCTGGGTGTTTGGTTGAGCAACACATTATGATTATTACCAGGAGCAAAGCAAACGCACAAACCCCAAATAACTTCCTTGTCCTCTACACACCCTCCCACGAGCAACCTTTGGTGTGTCTAAGAATTCCACTGGAGACCCCTTATTTAGAAACCTACTTAGGAGCGATCTAGGTCCTAAGGTAACAGTGAATCTCATTTCTCCACTGCTCACTCTTGCACTGTCCAACTCTATAGGCAGTAGCCACACGAGGCTATTTAAACTTAACTGAAATAAAAGAAAATAAAGCATTCGGTCATGCTAGCCATATTTTAGATACTCGATAGCTGGATGTGGCTAGTGGCTGTACTGGATAGCACAGACTTAGAACATTTCCATCATCACGGACAGTTCTATTGGACAGTGCTGCATAGAATCTACATACCAGGCGGCAGGTCATCTTATTTTCAATATACTGCAGGCAGACATTGGCATAGAAAGATCAAGTAACCTAACCCACGGTCCATGGCAAGTGAGTCTTATAAATAGAACTTAAACTGACATCTCTGGAACTTTGGTCTGAGGAACTTGTCTTGTTGGATTGTTCTTCTCTGAACCTTATCTTAATGTGAAACATGACTTATAGCCTCCAGTTACAAATTACCTGCCACCTTGGTTGGTTTGAGCCTGAAAGCTCATATCACAAGATTTCTTAGTTTAAGCTGGAATACAAGAGTACTTCAATTTCTAAAAAATCAATATGCTATCGCTATCACCACTGTAGCTTTAGAAAATATTTTCAAAATTTTCTTTGTACATTTGTCTTTAAATATTTTAATTAAATAGGATTTACAGCACTATAGTAGACAGAAATTCCATTCTGTTCAGGTCAACATTAAGTTACTTTGTTATTACTCAATGTACCCAAATTGAGTATGAGGGAAGATAGCTTAAATCTGTGTTCAGTGGCAGAGAAAAGGTAACGTTTATTTTGAATAAATAAAATGCTAAGATTAAGAACTGATCTAACACTGTGAAAAATACTAGGGGAATAACAATAATAGTAGTAGTAATAATAGCAGACACCTATCTATCTGCTTACTATGTGCTGGGCACCTTCTAACTGCTTTACATACATTAATTCTGTATCAAGACACTTAATCTTCACACCTACCCCATGATGCACTATTACGCTTCCTGATTTTAGGAATAAGGGAACTGTGGCATAGAGAGATGAAGTAGCTTGTTCAAGGTCACAAAGTTAGAGATAGGATTTGGACCCGGGCAGTGTGCCTCCAGAGGTTCGTAGCCACCAGATTATACTGCAAAGTCACTAAACCCTGAGAAAAATTAGTCCTGTCTTCCTAGAATCAATCAGCCAGCGCCCTTTAAAATATCCATATTTCTCAATTCAGGAAACATGCTCACTCACAATCAGGATGCGTATCTTCCTTTTCGGCATCCTTCCTTGAGTATTTCTTTTTCTTTCCACTCATTAGTGCAGTGTTGAAATTATAAAGTTTCCCCTCAACTCAAATAACTGTTTAACAGTTGATGCCAAAAATGCAGTAGATACTATACCAAACACAAAATCAGAGCATTTCAAAGCTGGATCTGGTGCACACAATGAAATAAAATAGCCTTCTTGGTTTCATAGCTATTTGGATTTGTTTTTATTCATTAATTCCTTTCCAAATTTGTGCCAGGGGTCCTTTAGCACATCAAACCAAAGAGTTTATAACTACGGCAATCAAAAGCCTGTCTTTTAACAACATAATATTTGGGAAGGTCTCAAAGAGAATCAGAGGAATTGGTGGCTTACAAGATTTGCTTCTTTTCTGGAGAATTCTGCCTTGAAACAGTACCAGAAACCTGAAATCGACAGTATAAAATTTCATTCTGAAAACAGCAACTTAAAAAAAAAAAAAGATTTTTCCCAATTTAAGAACCTTTTTTTGGTTTTTAGTTTTTCAGTCACCTAATCACAAAACTCTAGCCTGGAGTCAAGAGATTCAGTCTAATTCAGTCATTTTATAGACAAGCAAATTAAAGTCTACAGAGATGAAGCGACTTGTGCCAGGTCACACAGCTAATTCATCAGAGCGAAAAAGGGAACCCAGGATTTCTGCTTCAGCTCTCCTTACACTTGGTAAAAGGGCAAAGGTCCCGCACACGCCCTCCACCTGCCTCTGGCAGTTCCCCCTAAGGGTTATGTTCCCAGATGCTGTCGTGACTGCACACATCTACACTGGATACAACTGGGCCACACTTAAAGGGATGTCATCCAGTGAACATGGAGATTCACACATGTTTTGTGACAATGCTCTGGCCGTTGGACATAGGATGTGTTGTGCTGGGACAACAGCTCACGGAGCCAAGCCATCTTAGAGGGACCTGAGTTCAATCACTTCTCACTCCTAGAGGCCACATAACAAGAAAAAAAAAACCCCACTCATTTTTTTCCTTAAACTCCATCCTTCCTTTGAGCCAATGTCATCTTTAAAGAGAAAAAGGCAAAACACAAGTGGAGAAATTGAGAGATTTATTTAAAAAGGAAACTTTCAGGGAATATACGCTGCTTCATCCTGGGAGCTGCTCCCAGCCCAACTGCCCATGTCACCAGTACCTGCAATCCTGGGACGCCTGATGTTGAGAAATCATGAGCCCACAGAACTGAATGTCCCAGATCAAGAAAGAATAGTTAAATTGTATACAGTATACTGAGTTAAGACATGAAAGTATATTTTTATTATATTTTATAATGGTTTCCAACCTGCATTGAAATTGAAAAAAAGGAGTTTTCTGGCTAACCAGAAAACTTCTATTCCCTGAGCATCCCAACTAATTGAGGTTGTGTTTATATCTTTATTGTTCTTTCTAGACAATCAAGTCTAACATTACGTAACTTGCCAAGAAGAAACCAAATCAATCAAAGGAAAAGATGTGCCCTCCCAACTTAAAACATTAATCAGATATTAAATGTGAGTGATTTTTTCACTTTTAGGAACAATATAAAAAGTATATTATACACAATCACACACATATTAGACAAAACAATTAATCTCCAATCTAAGTAACTGTTAGCTGCTCTTCGGGTCAATTAAATACTAAAACAATAAATTAAGATTGCTTTAGCATAGAAGAGATAGGTAAGTAGTGGAAATAATACAGAATATTTTAATTCTGCTAGACTGCATGCTCTCATAATCCAGAAGACCGGATGCTTCCAGGAACACTTTCAGGTCCACCTCCGAGAGGACTCAGTGTCTACTACCAAGGGTAAACCCTGCACCCAACGCGTCAGAATTTCCCAGAGCCTGGCTCAGAACTAGAGGTCTGTGCCAGCTAAGCTAGCAAGTGATGTATTTTGGTAGAGAAGCAACCAAATTTACTAATTCAATGATCCCAATACAGGACTTATCTTAAAAGAAAAAGGCTCAGCAACAGAAAAAACAATAATAAAAGAATAAAATGTTAAATATGAGATAAAAGTCTCGGTTTAAGAAGGGACAAGGAAAAAAAATCTTTCTGGCTAGGAACCCAATTATTTCTCAGACTAAATTTAAAAAAATTTTCCACAATATTACCTTACAGAAGCCAATGAATAAATGGACTCCACGTTATAACTTTCATATCTTAATCCATATAAAAAAGCACATTATTTTTGCCAATTTGATCAGTTCCTGTCAAGTCCGCAGTGCACTCCTCACGTGGCTAAAACCGAGTGTAGGCATTGCGTTGCTGCTGCTGCTGTAATGGCTGCTGGGCTTGCTGCTGCTGTAGACGGATTTGCTGGGAATAAGGGTCTTCCAGGGATTTTACGAATATGGTAGTTCTGGGACCAGTCTTCCACACGATGCCATTGGCATCTTTCACTGAAGACTCCACCGTAATGTTGTGTGTTCCAAGGATAGCAAAGTTCAATAGAAACTGAGTACTGAAGTAATCATTATGAGGCTCAACCCTCTGCTCCATCTCGTTGGTCATATTGTCAATGGGTATCTGGAATGAAAGAACAGTTAAATAACAATAACTAACATTTATTGAGTGCTTACTGGGAGCTACGCTCTGTTCTAAGTGCTTATTTAATCCTTGCAAACAACCAAGAGGTAGGCACTATTATTATCCCTGCTTTACAGATGAGGAAACTGAGGCAGAGAGGTTAAGTAATTTCTCCAAGGTCACACAGCAAATGAGTAGTGGAGCTGGAATCTGAACCCAGGGAGGCTACCTCCAGAGCCGACACCATTAATCATGAAGTGACACCACCTCCTCACTCTCCTTGAGCAGAATGAGCTCCCAGAGCCTTTCTCAACCCCTTCGTATGTCGGCTTTTCTTCCTGGTGAAGGAGTTCAGGACACGCCCCAGATATGCTCCTTTGGCAAACTGATTATTCTGAGCTAAAAGCACTTGAGAAACAACTGATGAAGGAAGGGCTCCCTGACCTGCCTCTTTTTACCTAAAACAGGCCATAAAACTTCCCGTGAGAAAGGGAGTCTCTTGCACCAGGAAGAGAAGAACATCCGTATCATCAGAGGCTGGGAATTGATGCTGCAATGGATCTGCACAAACCTATGAGAATAACCCTTCCCCTCCTGCAGTGTCCCTCCGCGCCCCATCACACCTCCTAGTCACTGCCCCCCAATTTACTGCCCCAACGCAAACCTCTTTATCTTGTCATTTCGTCACAGATTTCTCATTTCTGTGTCTAAAAGGTACATGAGCTTTCTGCTCTGGCCATTTCTTCGGGTCTTCATTCTCTTGTGAGACCCTCCTATACACGCAAAATTCCATTAAAACTTGTATGCTTTTCTCCTGTTCATCTGCCCTGACGTCAGTTTGATCTTAGGCTCAGTTAGAGACGCTAAGAGAGCAGACCAAGCATTTTCCTCCCCTACACCTGCTTACACGACCCTCACCACAGTTCCCACTTTCTTTAGTCTGTGAAGAGAGAAGCTGAAGAAACAGGATGCAACCACCTGTTTCAGGGAGTTTGAAATCTGACTGAAAAAGAACAAGACTGAGTAAATATAAGTTAGGTTTTCCCCCTGGCTGGTCTGGTTTTACATTACTTAAGGAATGCAGTGACTCTTCCCTCCTTTAACAAATTAACTTCCAAACTTGGACACTGTCCACTTAACAGCCAGCGCCTTGTTCACACTGGCAGTATGACACATCACAAAACACAGGTTTCTGGGCTCGTTCATTCACTGAGCCAGGCACTGTGCTTCTGTCCTCCAAAGAACAGAACACCTGCTGGTGCACCTTACAGGTACCCAGGATGAAGAATGTCAAGAGAGACACGTTTTGAGAACATATAAAGGTAACCGTAATGAACAGTTGACCAGATTGCTCTAGGCTTATGTGCATTTCTGTTGTATAATTAATTACATAAATGTGCCCTAAAGCTGTGTCACAATAAGCAGTTGTCATGAGGACAGTTTTCCAGAGACATTTATCTGTGACGTTAATGAAATGAAGTCACCAACCAACTCAAGATCTTAGAATTACTTATAGGTCCTTTTTTGTTTTTTGTTTGCACATTCAACTTTCGTAGGGTTTTATTTCCCTGAAGAATATGCCTACCAAATAAAAACTTCCTTAAAAGGACCAGCGATAGGCCTAGGGAACCTGAGCATTCTGAATGGATGATGCATTTTAAGTTGCAAACTCGCTGCACATAACGTTACAAAGCAATCATGTACTACCTGGCTTACTATGTCAGCTTCCCGACTTTAATCAACGCTTCGAGAGAGGGGAAGTCAACAAGCAAAAGACCAGTACTGCTCGGTTACAATGTTTTTCTCTTAACAGTAGAAATCTTTACATACAAGGAACAAACAGAATCATGGTTACTGTTCTTTTAAACTCAAAGTGAGGAGAGAGCTGCAGACAGGGATAAGTTAACTACATAAATTCTCACTGCGATCTATGACAAGAGAGATCACCCAAATATAATTAGCTCTACTCCAAATACAGTAAATGATTTTTTTTCCATCATTCACCAAAATATTTACTGAGTGGCTGCATAAGGCACCATGCTTTGTGTCATGGAAGTCGAAGAGAGGGAGAGAAGAGAACGAAGGTTGAGCCTTATCAGAGAGTGGGGAGAGTGCCAGAGAGAGTGAAAAAAGCAATCATGGCTTAAACCAGACCTTCCCTTGGCTTTTTGGCCTAAAACCACCAAAGAGAACAAAATGCTGTCTTTTTATATCTGATACACCTTTCTTTGCTAAGGACCTCAGTTGAAGTAGGCCCCCAATAAACCTGGAGACAATCAATTTGGGCATTTGAACAACTCTGTGCATACCACTGTGTACTTGTTTCCTTGCCCCATTCACTGAGAATAAACCACTAAGGAACTGGAAAGAGATGCCTAAGGAAAGGAACATTCTACACGCGGAACATTGGGATTTCATGGGCACACATTCAGAATCTTAGCTTTGGCTAACAAAATAAGCATGATTTTGGTTAACCTACCTCAGGATTTCTCAAAGAAGCAAATTCCTAGGTTTACAACCTCCAGAAAAGACTTTACGTTATCTGACCACTGAATGTCAACGCTATATACTTTTTTCTTTTTTAAAAAGTGTTAAAATTTACTTAAATTATAGAAAAATAAGTAGATGTGTGCTTTTGGGGGGCAGGGGCATTAAGGAGACATTCCCCACTCCTGAAGTTTCCCTCCATGTGGAGAGACCTTTCACCAGATGAACAGTACTGGTCTCCAGGGGAGGAGGTGAATCCTACTGACTGGTAAGTTTCGGGTGGGAACTGGGCACGGGAAGCTAAGCACCTTCTCTCTCCCTTCTTCTCTGGCCATCAGGGTGCTCTGCCATCGGTGTTACAGGGGCAGACTCTTGTGTGTGCTGGCTGAGGGCAGGTGGGAAAATTCCATTCAGAGTACAAGGCTAGGAAGTCCTTGCCGTCAGACATAGGTCTGCCCGCAGCTCTAATCGTGATCTCTGTCTGCCTGCAAGCTTTGTCTACCAACTGCTTCAGGCAGGGAAGAGGGAAGCACTGGTTATCAGCCCCCTCAAACTCCAACATGTACTTTTAACTTACGTCCATCTGATCCCTTGGGAAGTATAAATGCCATGTGCTTAACCGCGAAAAGCTCGAAAACCTTATCAATGAGTTGATAAAATCTGCATAGCAATTCTGCCTCTTTTCTAAATTACCTTGTAGTCTTGTCCGGATTTACTCTGCAGAGTGGAAGACACATTCAGACAGACAGACTGAATTTTGCGGAAGAGTCCTGGTTTAGATCCATGCTGAACCACTCCCTCTACCTTTAGCGCCAGCTGCTGGTTATTCTGGACAGCGATGGGCTCTGCAGGGTTCCGGGGGGATGGTGACAGAGCAAGCTAGAACACCAATGTTAAAATAAATGCTAACAACTGAGAACAAGCTTGCTTCCAACAAACATGTCTTTGATAATCACTGGTTACAGGTTAACATGTTATACAACCCCCCTCCCTAACCCCAATCTAATGACCTGACTGTGCTGGGACAACCAGACAGCTGTACCCTTAAAGTCAAGGGTTCCTTTTCCTTAATGCCTCCTTTTAAATACCACTGGGTTTTTTACTCCAAACCCCAGTTCTGTTTGAGGGTAACAGAGGATTAGAGAATAGTGAAGGCACTGTTCTTTCAATTTCTGTTAGTGGGGCATTTCTTCAACAACGAACCAATTCTAGTAGGGAAATGCACTACGTAAATTTTCACATCCAGCTGCTAGCTCTTTGGTCTCAGGTAATTTTAAATAGACTAAATTCAAATACAAATGAACTTAAAATTCTAAGATTACATACACTATCAAGTCACCATGGTATAAAAGCCAATTTTCACAAATGAACTAAATGACATTTTTAACCTCTCATTTGAGTAGTTTTTCTTTAAAACATATTTAAAATCCCAAATACATTCCAATTACGGAAAGCTTAAGTCTCGCTAAATTAAAAGATGGAAGAAATTGGGTAATTTTGATAACGTTGTTGAGTCACTGAACTAATCAACCCTGGACACATCCTATGTTAGGACTTCTCATCTAGATAATCAATTTTCCTTATGATTCAGATCATTTTGAAATGGAATGTTCTGTTATTTGCAATCAAAAGCATTTGAATGGATGCAAAAGGGCACTGAAGACATTCATTGACAGGGATAATCCAGGAAATCTCACAGAAATAGCAATTTTCCTCCTTTCCCAACAATTCCATTCTTTGAATCAAAAACAGCTTTTGAATTTTGAATGGCTTAAATATTTTAAAATACTAAAGCTATTCGCTGGCCAGCTCTTCAAAACTTGTTATGCAGAGAGAAAAGTGCTTTGGAGGTAGGACTGGTGATGTTTTGGACCTGCTTCATTCTAAGACAGGTGTGAACAGGCTGATCAGACATGGACTTAGCTCAAGACCCTTGTAGGCTACTATGAGCAAAATCACTCAACTTATTCTTGGCGACAAGGGGAAAACTCCAGGCACCCAAATGCCTGCCTCACTGCATTTGGCACTGACAGGTAAGAAGGGAGAGGGTTTAACTCCCAAATCCCATCCCTTCACCAAACCACTTGATGACGGGAGGAAAAGCTTACAACTAAAGGGTCTAAGTTTTATCAAATCAGAAGGTAAGATCCTGAGGCAGAGCTATGCTCCACGTAATCCTCCAAAGATAACCGGGTTTTCCATCTCTAGTAACCTTAGTGTTCTTCCTCTATTACCTTGATGCTGGTAGACTGTAGTTTCTGGAAAAAATATCTCTGAAATGAAAGAGGAACTTTCAGCAAAGCAATGATGGCATTGCAGAGGCATGCTGTATGCTGGGGAGAGAAAAAGAAACTACATCAAATGAAAATAAACTTCCAAGTTTCATCAACAAATGGTACTTTCAGGAAGAAGTTTAAAAACTACAAGTGCTCATATGATTATTACAGAAGTACACAACAATCAGGAAATAGGCGTAACACCCAGGAATTGTGTACATTTGCCAAATCATTTGTGTCAAAGAGTACAGTTACAGATCTTTATTTTGAATATTCAATAAAAAGTAAATGACAGAAGGGAGAAAATCCACATTCCTCAAGGCCAAGCAATATGCAAAATTTGTATTTCTACAGAGCTTAGAGCTACTAGACATATTATTATACAATTACATTAGACACTGAATTACAGAGTAACTATCATATGGCAAAGTATGATAAAGAGCATGGTAAAGAAGCCAGAGCAGCAGACCAATGTTTGAGGCCTGACACCAAATCCCAAGTGGAACCTTGGCTATGAGCTGCCTCATTTTTCCATCCCATCTCTGCTAGGTGGCTTCCTTGTTCCTACGGCCATGGGTCCCCAGAGAGTGAGCAATGGCGGAAACTTACTGGAATTCAGATTAAGGATGACTATATGGTCCTGTTCTATGGAATTCTCAAACTTTAATAGAATACCTTATTTCTAAAATCTACTTCACAAATTTAACTGTTTTTTGAAAACCCCAGCATAACTGCAGAGAAACAGAAACACTACAATGAATCCTTCGAGTCTTAGTGAAAAGGGTCATAGAACCAGAATTTTTAAGAGTTCAAAGATATTTTATTTTTTTAAAACCACTTTACTGAGGTATGACTGATATACAAAAAGCTGTACATATTTACTGTATACAACCTGATGAGTTTGGAGATAAGTATGCTCCTGTGAGACCATCGAAGATATTGTAAAGATCACTCAGTCCAATCTTCAATTTTGCTGATGTCACAGGTCACTGAGACAGGTGATGGAACAAACTGGGACTAGAATCTGGGTTGTCTGAACCTTATTTCAGTGATTTT